TGAAATTTTGTTTCCTGCTCAGGGAAAATGCCACAGAAACTGTTGTGATGGTGATCACCGCTTCCAAGGACAGTGCCATGGGGGAAAAACTCAAGTGGATGAGTGGTTTCTCATTTCAAAAAAGGTGAAATGTCGATTGATGACAAACCAAGTTCTGGATATCCATCAACTTCCCAAATAGATGAAAATGTCAACTCATAGTGCATTTGGAGTTCATTCCACTAGTTCAGACTGTTAATACAGCTTTCTTTTTTTAAAATTTCAAATCGAAATAATTATGTTGTTTATTCAGCAATAAAGCATTATTTGGAACTAGAGCCTAGTGAAATATCTTATTTTTTTACATGACAGGATAGTTTGTTATAATGACTTATATGATTTTTTTAACTCCAGCTTTCTATTTAGAGGTTCTGAAAAGATTGCATAAAAGTATGCAACAAAAAGGCCTGATTTGTGGCAGATGGGGGACTGGTTTTGCCACCATGACAGTGCATCTGCTCATGAAGCTGTCTCAGTGTGCCAGTTGTTGGCAAAAAAGCAGCATGCCTCCTTGATCCATGTACCTGACTCACCTGAACGCTCTCTGTCCAAGTTTTTTTTTTCCATGAATGAAGACATGAAAGGACAGAGGTTTGACAACACAGAAGAGATGAAGAAAAAAACAAGGGAGGTGCTGTCAGCCATCCAAATAGATGAATTTGAAAAATGTTTCCAAGAATGGAATCGCAGATTTGACAAATGTATTAAGTGTAATGGAGAGTACTTTGAAGGTGATAAGGTTGTTTTGTAATAAAAAAAATTTAAATACATATCTTTGAAAAAAATACCATTTTTTTTTAATGGGTACCCCTCATTCATAGTTATATGCATAGAATATTTCTGACAGGCCGAACAAGAAACCTGCTGCTAGTCGTAGTTTCTCGGAGGGAGAGGATCTGAGTGGTGGGAGAGTGTCACCTTCATTCTCAGTCTTTATTTGGGGAGGGGAGTATTTTCAGAAATTGAAGCCCCAAATTCATTTTAAGGTGCAGAGCCTCTGAGCTGCTAAACTAACCTAAAAAATGGGTCTATGAGCAAAGTTTCCCAACAAAGCCCAAGCTACGCACTCCAGCGTTTGGGGGGCCAGATTTCCCCATCTGCGATAGTTTATTGTGCCAGCCTGGCTGTTAAACACAAGTGGGATTAACTGTTCAACACACCACCTATCATGCTAGAGGCCCTCCAGGTTTCTGGGTCACTGCTTCATCGTACCTGTTGCAATCCTGCTCTGTACGTACCCCTCTCCTCCTGTCACCTCAAACTTTCCTCCAGCTATTTTCAGAATGCAGTTTAGCATTAATTTGTGCATTTTCCTATAGCGATTCAGCTTTTCCGGGCTAGCTGAGTTGTCTTGCTTTGCCTCGGGTAAATACCCTTTCAAATTTAATTCAGTCCCAGGATCCTGCCATTTGTCACAATAAGATTAGACCATAGTGATCTGCAGGGTTTTCACTGTAGATATTGGGAAATCATTTCTAGACCTTTCCTATATTTAGCCTGTAAACCCCCACTAAAACCTGTCCAGCATCATATCAACACGCAAGCCTCAATTAACAGACACATAGTGGAGGTATATTGAGGTAAATTGACCAGGAATTGAACCTGGGGCTCACACATGGAAGGCTAGAATTCTACCACCAAATGAGCCCACTCCCCAAATCGTCCTACTTGGTGGTGGTCTGGGAGGGTGAGTCACAGGGTTTCCCACCCCCTGACTTCCCTTCCCATAGCGGGCCCTGGGATCTTTCCTTCCCCTTGAGACTCAGTGTTTGTGTGACAGGAGAGAGTAAGGAATGGATCGGGGAGTACTCATAGTTTTCTTCCACTAAATGTCTGTCTTCTGAACATGGTGCATTGAACTTAAACTAGTTTTGTTGCAACAAACCTGACATTTTCTTTGCATTTTCTTTAACTGTTTTGATGTCATTTTCCAAGGACTTAATGAGTTTTGCATGCTGTTCATTCCCTACATTCTTATACTCTTCCCAATATTCCTTTTCACCGAGTTTCTCAAGAAATAGCTTCTCAGCATTACTAATTTTCATGCGCATATCTGTTGAAAGATAAGCAAGACACCTTGTCATTTCTATCTTCTCTTCAGTAATTATAAAGAGCAACCTGATTTTTGTTAAGTCAAAGTCTGATGTTAAAATGCTGTTAGCTCATGATTACTATTTTATATCTTCAACTTAGTGAAATATAAACTATTTCAAATTATTGTTTAGCCTCATTCAAAGCACAGGGGTGTAGTTTTAAAATATGTGTAGTTTAGAATATGATCAAGAAATATAATGAACCTCTGTGTTTAGAAACCCACAAGTTTAAACTATTCTCTGAGAGTCTGACAATAGCACCCGGTGTTATGTATCACAGAGGGCCGCCAAGAGTTGGAATTTTCTTGAGGACCCCCAACAGCAACAAGTAACAGCCTATCACATATATTCTTCATCAGTAAATTGTTATATTACTAGTCATTATGCCAGTGGGGAAAAATTGATTTCAACTTACTTGTATGTTCTTCTCAGATCCATGACAACTGTTGTTTGATTACATTATCTAAAATGTAGTTGTTGGATTGTATAAAATAATAGAATAACATGTCTTCCTCATAAACAACACCCCACCCACCCCCAATTTCTATTAATAAGACTTCAGAGTGAGAGATAAGTTCCTAGGTAAATATGCACAAACAGTGACTCATCGCAGCCATAAACACTTTCAGTTTGCCCTGGAGCATTTGATACATGTAGTATTCCCCGCAGTCTTTAGGCCTGAGTGTGGTGGTGCTGGATGTTGGAGAGGAGGAAGCATCACGAAGAGCTGAGTATAATTAACTTAATGGTGGTTTGGCTCGCCACCATCCACTCATTTGATAGCTTCTTGAGGTCAAAACTGTGTCCTATTCATCCCTGTAAACCCAGCACTTAGCACAGAGCCTGGCAACTAGCTTCAAACCAAAACCAAATTCACTGCCACAGACTCAATTCCAACTCACAGCTACCCTAAAGGACAGGTTGAATTGCCTCCATAGGTTTCTGAGACTATAACTTTTTGTGGGAGTAGAAAGCCTCATTTTTCTCCTGTGGAGGGGATGGTGGTTTTGAACTGCTGACCTTGAGGTTAGCAGCCCAACACATAACCCACTGTGCCACTAGTTGGTCCTTAGTAAATGTTTGTTGAATGATTGAAACATTCCAATTGGGTTTCAAAGGGTTTGTCTTCAATCCAGAGGTCCAGACGGACTCTGGACTCACCACCACCCACTGCAGGAGAAAGATGATACTTTCTACTCCTGTGAAAAGTTGCAGTCTCAGAAACTCACAGGGGCAGTTTTACCCTGTCCTGTAGGATCCCTATGAGTCAGCTTCGACTCAAAGTCATGGAGTTTGGGGTTTTGTTTTTGCCTCTCTTACAGATAATGGGAGAAAATGGTGCCATGGCTACACTCACTTTGTCATTCTCAAGTCTAACTCGAGACTGAGTCACAGCTTCTTTTGCAAAAGAACAATCCCCACTATGAGGAAAGCTCAGAGTGGCATTTCCCTCTGGTAGCAAGAGTCAGATGGCTTTCTCCTATCTTTATTTTTGATCACTGCATCATTCTTCCTCCTCAATTGGTTTCACCATCCCTGCCCACTTCATTACTTCCCTCTCCACATGTGTTTGTGGTCTTGGTGGTAATGATGGAAGGTCAAATATGTTCACAGCATTTGGAACATATTGGGAGAAAAAAATAATACTATCTTCAACAAATAACTCCATACAGCTTTATGATAATTTTCTAAAATCACCTTTCAAATTTTGCTCCTGATCTCTTTCAAACTTCCATTTTTCTTTCATTGCTTCTTCAACATCCTCTCTTGTTACAATCAGCATTCCCTTTGACTTATCTTCACTCAGTTCCTGCAGTAGGTTCCTTATGTGCCAGATCTGCTCATCCTTCAAGCGTTTATTCTGATATGGAAATCGAGAGTTAAGTTACATAGCTACATTTGTAGAGTTATTTACATTGTTTTCCCTGAAAGTAGATTACACACTGAGGCTTTTAAAGTGAAACAAAAATATTTAATGAAATTAACTATATTAATAATATCTCTAAGAGTTTTTATGGAGTATGGAAGACTCAGAATAAAATTAAATCCATCAATACCCTAACCATTAAATATTAATGCTATCTATTTCTATCACTCATTGCCCATTTGTTGCTGTTTTAGTTAGGTGTCATCGAATTGCTTTCAACTCATAGCTACCTACATACAACAGAAAAAAACACTGCCCAGTCCTGTACCATGTATTAAGAATTTATAAAGGGTTTATAAAGGATGTACTTGAATTATGGAGCTGGTGAAGAATATTGAAAGCACCATGGATTAAAAAGAACTAATTAATCTGCCTTAGAATAAGTACATCCAGAATAATCCTTAGAAGCAAAAATGGTGAGACTTTGTCAGTTATCCTGACATGTTATCAGGAAAGACTAGTCCCTGGAAAGGGACATCATGCTTGGTAAAGTGGAAGGGTAGGGGAAAAGAGGAAGGTTCTCAACAAGATGGATTGACACAGTGGCTGCAACAATGGGCTCAAACATAACAATTGTGAGGATGGAGCAGGATCAGGCAGTCTTTTTTAAAAAAATCATTTTATCGGAGGCTCATACAATTATCACAATCCATCCATCCATCCATTGTGTCAAGCACATTTGTACATTTGTTGCCATCATTGTTCTCAAAACATTTGCTTTCTACTTGAGCCTCTGCTATCACCTCATTTTACCCTCCCTCCCTGCTCCACCTCCCTCATGAACCCTTGATAATTTCTAAATTATTACTATTTTGTCATGTCTTACACTGTCCGATGTTTCCCTTCACCCACTTTTCTGTTATCCGTCCCCCAGGGAGGGGGTTATATGTAGATCCTTGTGATCTGTTCCCCCTTTCTACTCCACCTTCCCCTTTCCCTCCAGGTATTGCTACTCTCATTATTGGTTCCGAGGGGTTTATCAGTCCTGGATTCGCTGTGTTTCCAGCTCTTATTTGTACCAGTGTACATCCTCTGGTCTAGCCAGATTTGTAAGGTAGAATTGGGATCATGATAGTGGGGGTGGGGGAAGCACTTAGGAACTAGAGGAAAGTTGTATGTTTCATCATTGCTACACTTCACCCTGACTTGCTCGTCTCCTCCCCAAGACCCTTCTGTAAGGGGTTGTCCAGTAGCTTACAAGTGGACTTTGGGTCTCCACTCCGCACTCCCCCTCATTCACAATGATATGATTTTTTGTTCTGATGATGGTTGATATCTGATCCCTTTGACACCTCGTGATCGCACAGGCTGGTGTGCGATCTTCTTCCATGTGGGCTTTGTTGCTTCTCCGCTAGATGGCCACTTGTTTATATTTAAGTCTTTGAGATGCCAGATGCTTATCTTTTGATAGCCAGGCACCATCAGCTTTCTTCATCACATTTGCTTATGCACCCGCCTTGTCTTCAGCGATCGTGTTGGGAAGGTGAGCATCATGGAAAGGATCAGGCAGTCTTTCCTTCTGTTGTACGTAGGGTCGCTATGAGTCAGAATCAACGAAATGAGACCTAACAATGAGTCCTAACAGGTACAGAGCCCTGGTGATGCTAATGGGTAAGTGCTGAAATACTAAATGCAAGGTTGGTGGTTCAAACCCACCAGGTGTTCTGTAAAAGAAAGATGAGGCTATCTGCTTCCTTAAAGATTTGTTGTTTCCATTGTTAGGTGCCATTGAGTTGGGTCCAGCACATAGCAACGCTATACACAGCAGAACATAACACTGACCTTAGCCATCCTCACAAACGTTCCTATGCCCGAGCCACTGTGGCACCCACGGTGTCAATGCATCTTGCTGAGGGCTTTCCCTCAACTTCACTGCCCTTGCACTTCACCAAACATGATGTCATTATCCAGGAACTGGACTCTGCTGACAGTATGTTCAAAGAATGTAAGTCAAAGCCTTGCCATCCTTGTCTCTCAGGAGCACTCCAGCCATGCTTCTTCCAAGACAGATGTTTCTCCTTTCAGCAGTCCATGGGACTTTCAGTATTCTTCTCTGTACCACATTTAAAATGCATCAATTCTCCTTCAGTCTTCCATAGTCAGTGTGCAGCTTTCACATGCATATGAGGCCATGGAAAATATCACGACTTGGGCTAGGTGAACCTAGTTCTCAAACTAACATCCTTGCTTCTCGCACTCTGTAGAAATCTTGTATAGCAGATTCACCTAATGCAATGGCTTGTTTGACCACTTGATCGCTGCTTCCAGGAGCACTGATATAGATCCAAACAGTTTAGAGAACTCTACAAGACAGGTCTATCACCCTGTCACACAGGGCCACTATGAGTTGATAGCACACAAGAAATTTTTCCTAGCTGTTAGCATACTGGAAAATCCCACTTGCAAGATTTGTTTTTTTGTGGGAAATATGTAGATAACAGAATATTTGCTTGGTCTACAATCTTCATCTGTATAGGTCAGTAATATTAATTATGTTCCTCATATGTCCAAACTTCATCATTATTAATATCACTCACCATTATTACTATAATAAAATGCATAAGTATGCAATCATAAGACAAATAAATACATTAGAAATATATAATAAAAATAAATATAGTAAAGGAAATACATAATTATGAGATAACTTAAGTATCTCAATAGATGAAAAAACATCTGGCGGTATTTTATTTATATGATAAAAAACATGCAATAGACTAGGACTAGGAGAGAAATTCTTCAATCTGATAAAATCCAAAACCAAGCTCACTGCTGTCAAGTTGACTTCTGTTCATAGTGACCTTATAGGATAGGGTACAACTTCCTCTGTGCCTATCTGAGCCTGTCATCTTTATGAAAATAGAATGCCACATCTTTTTCTGGCTGAGCAGCTAATGGGTTTGAACCATTGATTTTTCAAATGCTTAATCACGGTGCCACCAGGGCTCCAAAACAGCACTGCATGTCCTACATGTATTATATAATATATAAATGTTACAAAATCACATTTGGTGTTATATATAAATTTAACAAGACCTGTATTAAACTTTCTAAATACTGTCTGAATTTCATCTAGAAAGCAAAGTATCTAACAGACATTTTATAAAATCCAAAGTCCTGTCTGAAAAATTATATTGAGTAAAACACTGAAGTAAAATTTAGTTGAAGATAACTTCCCATGTGCTTAAAAAAAGGCTATACTACAGAGTGAAGTCAGTAACTATTATTTGAGGCAAGAACACTCATCACAGTTAAAAAAAATTGGGAAAATTTATATCCAGTAAATAAACTATCAAAGCAGATTGATGTTTGTGTTATAAGGCTATGTTATAGGCTTTATTCTTGTTCTTTGTTAAGACACATAGAACAAGACGTTGCCAGAACAGTAGAGAGCAGTCCCATCTACAGTTCACCCTGCTTTCCCCAATGACAACGTTTTATATAACCTAGTAGTACATAGTCCTGTCTAGGACACTAACAGTGGTACACTGTTATTTACCAAACTAGATACTTTATTCATAATTGACCATTAAGAAACAACCGTGTTTTCAGTGAAAGTTTACATAGCAATTTAGACTCCCATTCAACAATTTCTACACAAATGATTCAGAGACATTAGTTACAGTCTTCACACTGCATGAAAATTTGTATTTCTGTTCTAGTTGTTTCATTTCCGTTAGATCATTTTTCTTGCCCCTTCTCGTTTTCATCTTTATTTTAAAGATGTTTCATATGGATACTTTTTGAAAAAGGAGCACAGTACTTACAGGTGATTTAAAAATTTTTTGGAGACACTTTGTTATTTAGCTAAAACTAGGTAACCTAGGGGCTCATTTCAGGTCAAGGCTTAAAGCGTATCTCAGGACAGTAGTCTCAAGAAGTCCTCCAATTTCAACAGATCCAGTAAGTCTGGTGCTTTTTTTCCCAGGAAGTTGCGCTTCTGTTCCACATTTTTCTCCCATTCTGTCAGGAACTCATATTGTGTTCCTAATTAGGACAGTCCACAGTAGAATCTGGGCACCATCTAATCCTTCAGTTCTCGGTGTAGATGAGATTGTGGTTCGTTTAGATTTGAAGTTCTGTGGACTATTATTTCCTTTTATGGGTCTTCGGTTTCCTTATTTCTTGGCTCAGGATGAGGACAGCTCAGTAACTGTGTCTTAGCTGGTTGCTCATACCAGTTAAGGCCAAAGGTGGATTTAGAAGATAATATGCCAATTGACTGAGATGTCCCACAAGACTATTGTCCTAATCTTCCAAGTCACAAGGAAGTCAATCCTATGGGCTATTTGGTTGTATTTAAGAGGTATATGTAACTGTGAAGGGGTTTGATTTGCAGATACCCTGAATTTCAGATGTTCACGAGCTCTCGTGGTACAAAGGTTAAGTGCTCAGCCTGTAAGCAAAAGTTTAGAGGTTCAACACCCCCCTGTTCACTCTGTGGAAGAAAGACCCGATGACCTGTGCCTGCAAAGATCAGTCTAGAACACTCTTGGGCGGTCCTGCTCAGTCATGTGGAGCTGCCACAAGAGAAAATCCAACTGGATGGTTTCTAACAACAACATGATGTTTTCTGATGGGAAGCCCCAGTAGGCAGTTGGGAATACAATATTGAAGAGAGGCTAGCATTGGAAAAAGATCCTCGACAGTCTTTGGCAAATGGTTGGTTGAAGCTCTTGGAGTGGGAGAGGGCGCCCAGGAGTGTAGAGAAAGAGTGTAGAGAAAGAAAAAGTGTAGAGAAAGCAGGAGTGTAGAGAAAGAAAAAGGCAGCGGAGGTACCAATAGCGCTGTTTTGGAGAGAAGAAGTTCAAAGGAGAAGAGAGGTGTGCTTTGTAAGCCCGGGAGAAAGTTCAAAAACAGAGAGGGTAATTATGTCACTTGCCACAGAGAAATTAATTAGGATGAAGATGAGAGCTTTGGCAAAAGCTATAGTACAATGGATTAGGCATTAGACTATTATTTTCTCTAAAATAGTGAAGCAAGTATTTTTGTCTTTGATTTTCAGTTCCTACAATAATCTACATTAAAAACTAAAGAAAAAACTTACAGAAAGAAAGAAGAGAAATGTTTATTGAATGAATGAGTGAAAAGAGTGAGTTATAATACCCTGTTAGGAGGTAAGATCACAGGACACACGATGTGATTTTCATTCTTTAGACTGGTGGAAACTTGGGAACCTGAGGAAGTTTATGGCAAGAAAGCATCAGCCAAACAAAACACAGTAGCTATCTGATTGGTTCTGATTCAAGACAATCTCCTGTTTTTCTGAATAAAACTGTACTCCATAGAGTTTTTAATGGCCATACTTTTTTTTTGTTTTTCAGAAGTAAATCACCAGGTCTTTCTCCCTATGAGCCGCTTGGGTGAATATGAACCAATTCCCCGGCCCACAGTTAAAGGCGTTAACCACTTGCACCATCCAGAAAATCCTGAGCAGTGCAGGTGGAAGAATACATACAAAGCAAATTCAGGGCAAGAGTTTGGAATAACATCTGGGGCATTTGTGGGGGGGAAAAACTTACTTTGGAAAACAAGGTTCCCTCTTCTTTATCAATAGTAGGAAGGAAGTTATGAGTTCAGATAAAGATAAATTATAAAATAAAGAGGAAGTTAAATAACAGTGTTTAAATTTGCTATTTTCTCACTTGATTGGGATTTTAAATCATCTTCTGAGAGTGTGCTTGACAGAAATTGCATTATTGAGGTAGAAGTATTATTGCAATATTGCATTATTGAGGTAGAGCCTTAAGTCAGGTTCATTACAACCAGCAAGGTGATCAGAAAGGAGAGCTGGCCAGGGACAAGCAAAAGAATTGCTTAGCAGTGCTGAAAGTCAACTCTGTTGGAAGCAAAGATCTTTTAATGCCACTGTGTGTGTATAAGAAACCCTGGTGGCACTGCTGGATAAGCATTGGACTGATAACCAAATTGGGCTTTGGGTTGGTACATGTTGTGTGTGTGTGTGTGTGTGTGTGTGTTCATTATGCTTGGAACCCAGGCACAGAAGCAACTTTTCAGAGTTGCATATTGGCAAAAATAGTTGTGGCAGAACAATGAGGTGTAGGTATTTTACGAATTTTTACACTCACTCATTGTGTGTGTGTGTGTGTGTTACTATGAATAAAAACCTCTAATGTCACAATGGCTAATCAGTTGGTTGCTAATCAAAAGGTTGGTAGTTTGAACTCACCAGCAGACCACAAAAGAAAAGATCTGGAGATTTGTTCTCACAAAGGTTTCTATCCATGGAAACCTTATAAGGTAATTCAGCTGTGTCCCTAGTGTGCCTAAGAGTTGGAATTGACTCAAGGGTAAACAACAATAGTAACAAAAACAGTATTAGGACATTTATCACATATGAGAATGGCCATCATATAAATGTTAGCTGAAGCAAGTCATAAGATCAACCCAAAGAGAGTCTAGAGTAAGAGAAAGGGGGCTGGGATCAGAACTCTCTATATACTTATAAATAAGGAGTGACCAGGAACATTTCCAAGAATGAAAAGCAAGACAATATGGTCAGAGTAGGAAGACAATTAAGAGAGAGAATGATTCTGGACCCCAAAGGAGAAAAGAGTTTCAAGACGAAGGAAATGACTACACAATTGACTGTGATGGGATGTGGAGTAAGTGAAGATTAAAGAGTTCCTGGGACCTGGCTAACTGGTCCTTAATAAATTCTACTCGTGTTCATGGTGGTGTGGTAGGAGGAGGAGAATGAAAGGGGAGGTGAGGAAGTGGACACCGTGAACCATGGAATGTGTAATGCCATGATTGTAGCCAGGAACAAAAGCAGGAGAGAAAGACAATGAATGAAGTGACAACCTACACAAAATTAAATACACACCGGGAGAGATGATGGCCCCGAAGAGAGGCATTTCTGCTGCTGACATAGCTGAAGAGAAAAAAATACACCTTGCTAATGACTCATGTTTAATTTTGCAGTTTAAATAACTGTGACCTAAAAATTTCTTCCTTTCCCCAGAGTTAATGTGAATCAATTCAATAAATATTTGTTGAACATCTGTGTATGGTAGGCTTTTTGGTGGAAACAAAGATAAGAAAGATTTAATTGATGCTATCTGAAGAGCTTTCATTTAGTAATGGAGATATATTTTGTACCACATTCCAGCTTTGAGAGGGAAAATGAAAAAGAGCTAGCTTTCCAAGGAGAGAAAACAATGTGTGTAAGGTACAGTGATAAGAAAGAAACTGGATTTTCCAAGGTTTGAAAGCAGGAGTGGTAAGCAAAGTTGAGAGACAAGATTGGAGAGGTGAGCTGAGAATAGAATTTGCAGTACATTGAAGGCCTTACAAACATTATGTATTTGATTTTCTAGGCAATGGGAAATCACCAAAGTCTTTCTAGCATTCAGAGCATAATTCTGGTTTTACTACGGAAAACTGAATGGATAGGAGAAACCAAACCAAATTCATTGCTATCAAATGGGTCAACAGAGTGGAAGTGTAGGACAGGGTAGACCTGCCCTGGTGAGTTCAAGACTGTAGCTCTTTACCAAAGTGAAAAGTGCTGTCTTTCTCCGGTAGAGAGACTGGTGGTTTAGAACCGCCAACGTTGCAGTTAGCCGCTGAACACGTAACCACTATACCACCAGGGCTACATGATCCAGATGATCATGGATTAAATGGAGGTGATAACAGTAGAAATGGAAAGAAATATATAATGTGTGTATCAGTGGTTCTCAACCTTCCTAATGCCATGACCCTTTAAGACAGTTTCTCATGTTGTGGTGAGCCCCCAACCATAAATTCTTTTTGTTGCTACTTCATCACTGTAATTTTGCTACTGATATGAATCGGGCAACCCCTGTGAAAGGGTTGTTTGATTGCCAAAGGGGTTGCGACCCACAGGTGGAGAACCGCTGGTTTAGATACATGCAGTTGAAACTAGACTCTACTTTTCCATTAGCCTCATTGTTGGGTCCATTAATTGTCCCCATAGTAGACTTAGGTTGGTCCCATTTTAAAATTAGTCCTCGTGGGAAAAAAGAACTTTAACTCTTTCTAGCTCCAAATGATGGTCTAACGGAGAAAGAGATCTCCCTATCTAGATCTGCTGTACTTGCCACAATTATGTCCTGACTCAGGGGTCTCATTGGTCCCTTAATAATAACTCACTTTCCCTGCATGGTCTAGCCTCTCATCATGTAGGACCTGCATCCAGCACCTAGGCCAAATTCCCTTCCCACTCTAATCCATAGACCTGGGCTTCTGTTCCAGTCCCTATCCAAGTGGTTGATCACACTCTTATCACTATCTTGTCCAATAAGTATTTGATACATGAGAGACAGGGATCCTTGTTTTACAAGAAAAAATTAAGGCATGTAGCAGTTTTGTCCAAGTGCAAGTGACATCTTCAGTAAGTTATAGAGCCGGAATGCAAACGCACGTCTCTGATCTTGATTCCATTAAAGTTTGTACGTAGAGTCTTTTAGGAGAAAAGCCAAATATTTCCCTTTATATTTCCTTATGTGTGAGATGCCTTAAGACATAAATGTGTTAATTATAATTTTACTGCTTCCAAAGCATATTCTTGTTAGTACTTAGTCCTGAGAGTCACTTTTCACATTCATTTTAATCTAGTTTTCCCAAAACATCATATCATTTTAAATACTCAAATGGTTGTTATAACGGGGATTGTATTTCCAAACAGTATTCTTGCATCACTTCCACAGAGACTTAAATGAATTATCAATTCCACATTGAAGAAGATCATTTCCTAGAATACAGTTTGTCAAAATTCACTATTTTTAAAACCATGTGTGCAATGTTTATTGGCCAGATGTAGGCAATAAATTCTATACTCACTCTATCATGATACTTCTGGTTCTTTTCCCTAAGTTTCCTTAATTGAACCATGAATCGTTCTACAGAGCTTTCCTTTATTTGACAGCTGAGAATAAACAAACAAACAAATGAATTACAACCACAACAAAACATGTAACAAGTATTTATCTTAGGAAAAATGAATGAAACAAAACTTAGACCTAAGCAACAATATTTGAATTAAAATGAATCATTAAGTATATTATAAAAATCCATTTAGCCATAAGAATCTTTCCTAAGTGGGTTTGTGTTTTGGAATATATTTTATTTAATAAAATACTTACTGGGAGATAATTTCACATTTTGTTTTTTAAAAATACCAATCCTCACTTCCTTTTCATAGTCTTAATTTTTAATTATCTATAAAAAATCCAACTTAAAACCATAAAACATAGTTCCTCAAATTGTAAAAGCAACTAATAAAAATGGCAAATAAAATAATTACTTTGTAAGAATAAGTACATTTTGAAATATTAAGGTAAATTAAGCAAGCTTATTGCATCAAGTTCCTTTGTTCATTCTCTTATACAAATAATCAAAGCCTCCTTCTCAGTACAACTATGCTTCTTTAATAGCCGACATTCTTTAAGCAGCTCGTAGACGGGAAAGAAAGGCGCCCTCGTGGCGGAGTGGTTCCACATTGGGCGACAAGCCACAAGGTCAGCAGTCTGAAAGTCAAAAATGAGCCTTTCTACTCCCACAGAGTTTCAGTCTCAGAAACCCACAGAGGCAGTTCTACACTGTCCTGTAGGGTCACTCTAAATTGGAATTGACTCAGTGGTAGTTGACTTTGAAGTTTTTGAGGCATAAAAGAAAAAAAGTACAAAACCATTTTGGTATAGAGTCTATATACCAAACAATATAGTCTATATAATGGAATAGAGACCATCTGATAGCTTTAGAAGGCTTAATCAGGTCTTTTTTTCACTATGAACTAGTAAATCTTATAACTGTAAGAACAAAGTAAGCAAAGGAAATAACATCACCCTACATCCCTTGTCTAGGAACCCTGGTGGAGTTACAGTTTAGTGCAGGGCTGCTCACTAGAAGCTGCCTGTTGGCTCTCCAGTGCTCCACAACGCTTGATAATTAATTTGTTCCCCTGAAGTAAGTGTACCGTTGGAAAACACTTTTTGACAGTTCTGCTCTGTCACATGGGGTCACCATGAGTTGAAATTAAACTCAACGGACCCTAATAGCAACATCTCTCTCCTCAATTAAAAACAAACATCTATACGGCACCTCAGTGATTGAACCGTAGCTAAAGAATGAGAAACTTCCCAATCTTGTCCTTACTGCTTCTTGTCCATGTGACCTTGGGCAAGTCAATTCTCTGGGCCTCATTCTCCAAGTTGTTAAATTGAAATAACAAAAAATAATTGTAAGGATTAAAGTAAAAATAATATGTGAATGTGTTTGGCATAAAGCAAATGCTTTGCAACATTCAGTTTCATTAGAATCTTTTATCTTCAGCCTTGTCCCTAAAATTATCATTAATTTTTATCTATACTTATACAGAGGATAATAAGTTACCTTCCTTCCAAATGATAAGAAAATGTAACATAAAAACAAAACAAGTAAATCTCTTTTTTTTCCTTATCAGGTTTATTGGCACTTTATCCACACATCATACAATTCAATAGTTCAATCATATGAAGATGAGTTCTATAATCATAACCACAATCAGTTTTGAATATTTTCTTCTCCCTTGTGCTCATTAGTAATGTAATTATTTTTTTTATTGTGGCATACATATATACAACAAAACATTTTCCAATTCAACAATTCCTATATGTATAATTTAGAGTACTTACATATAGTTAATTGTACTCTTCTTGTTGTACAACAATCATTGATATCCTTTCCAAATTATTCTAGCACAATTAACAGACACTCAGTGCCCCCTGAGTAAAATTGCTTCCTCCTTCACCCATGGTAACCATTGATCAAGTTTGATTTTTTTTTTGAGTCATTTTCTTAATGTAAAATTCACATATCATACACTTCCATAATTAAACCGCCTTTAAAAAGAGTTGTATATACATCCTCACAATCAGTTCTAGTGCTCTCTCTCCCCTCCCGCATTCATTGTTTGCTCCCCGACTCCCCTCACCCTGCCTACCCCTGGTCCCTGAAAAACCATTGCAGTAATCATGGTCTCTATGTATCCACTCCTTGTGTGCTTCATAATCTAGGAAACCTAACAGAATCAATAAAAACAAAAACAAAACATAATGAAATAATAATAATAAAAAGATTTAAAAAAATAAAATATAAGAAAGAAAAGTTCCCAAGTAATATTTAAAAATCCAGAAAAGAAATTTCTGGCATGGAACAAGTAAGAAATAGCTCATCTCTAGAGCAAATTCAGGTTGGGTTAAGAGAGAAGTCAACCAACCAAGTATCGTATTCTACCTTGGTTCCATCTACCACAGTCAAGTTTAACAAGTAAATGACAAACAGCTCTGCTGGTGTACAGGTACACATTTTTAATTGCACTTCACTGTATTGTGCTTCCCAGATGTTGCGTGTGTTTTCCAGGACTGAAGGTTTGTGGCAACTCTGCTTCAAGCTAACAGCATGTGCTCACTTGCTGTCTGTGTCACATTTTGGTAATTCTCACAACATTTCACTTCATAAATTACCCCCTAAAAAAACAAACCACAAAAACCCGCTGCCATCAAGTTGCTTGTGATTCATAGAGACTCGATAGAACAAAGGTAAATCTGTAAGGGAGAAGGTGACTTCATCTTCCTCCCACAGAGAAACAGTGAATTTGAACCTTCGTGGTTAGCAATGCAGGGCTTTTCCCCATTGAAAAATACCTTGAGTCCATTAGCTGAGTCAATTCTGACTCACAGCAATCCTATCGGGGGGATAAACCTGCTCCTTATGGTGGTCCATATGGTAAATCTTCAAGGGAACAAACAGACTGCCTCATTTTCTTCACAGTAGCAATTTGTGGGTTTTGAACTGCTTACTTTGTGGCTAGCAGCTCAATGCTTATCCCACAGTGCCACCAACACTCCTTTAAATAGACTCCAGTATAGTGTAAGCATAACTTCTGTATACACTGGGTGTGGCAGTTACATAATCTCCTGTTAACTTGAGGGAAGGAGTGGAGTCTATCCTGCCAATCAGGTCATAGCATTGAGGCCTCTCTGAGGGCATGGCCTTCTCCTGAGGGTTCTGGAAACTCCTGTCTTCCTCCCTGGAGGTGGGACACACACTCTACCCGTGAGCCATTCCTGTTGACAAAACCACAAGAAACTACATTGATGGAGCTAGAGCCACGTGGAGACCCACACCAGTGCTGAGATGTTTACACTGCCACTGGATCCACAAGACTTTCCACCCATTGGCCTGTGATCTTCCTGCATCCAGCATCATTACATGTGTTACGTGAGTCTGAAGAGGAATTTATAGACTGGTATTGGAAATATGGGCTAACATATGACTTATGGACTTGATCTGTACTGGGCTGGGCTGTTTTCTTAATATACAATTACTCTTTGACATATATGAGTGTCAGTGAATGTGTTTCTCTAGTCAACCCAGACTAATACACTGGGAAACCACAAAATACCTTTCTCTACTTACTACTATTAATAATAAAATATTATAAATGAAAACTATCTGAAAAGAGCTTATGTAAATATGTGCAAATTACTCATAATACTTGCCATTATAAATATGGTATTATTACTTCTATCTATGGATAGCACAGACAAATGAATCTCAAGTATGTGATCTCCATTAGTTGAGACTGAGTGTTAGACTGACCTCTGATTTCAGATGAAAACTTTCCTTGGTGCTGGTTGAGCATGCAACCATGATGGGGCTGGAAACCACATTCAGATATTGCATGGGGGCAGGTTGATAGTTTGCACCTGCAGTGACTCCTAGACTTCATGGTATATTCAGGTCTCACAGCTAACCCTAAGCCCTGAAATCTGCTTCAAACTCTTTAAGCCTAATACAGAGGCAGAATTCCCAGCAATCAAAGGGACTCAACTTCAGATTTCTGCACTATCATTCGCTGTGGGGAATTCAGTCTTCATCCTTCTCTATATACTTTTGCATTTCATATCTCTCCCCTATCTTCTCAATGATCTATTATCCCACATGTTACACTAGATGCGGAAGCAAGTGAATGATCAACCAAATGAGGTAATATATAATATAGTACTTTGAAAAGGATGCATCATTATTCTGAAGCCTAGTGATATTACATTGTTTGTAATATAATAGGTCACCTTTCTCTTCCTGAAGTGTTAACTATTCAGTAATGGAATAGGTCTTTTCCCGTCCATTCTTTATTGACAATTCTAGGAAGGAGAACCAGTAAACATGACTTTCATAAAAGCTATGCTTTTATCTATTATTTATCTACATATCTATAACTACCTCTCTCTATAATTATATCAATATTCATTGTAGAAAACTGGGAAACAACAAATATAAAGGAGAAAATAAATATCAGTGGTATTTAGACACAATCCCTTTATTTTTGACAGCATCAGTTCTTCACAAACAACCAAAGAGGGTCATCACTTTTTATGTATGAATAGATTTGGAGCATTTCAAGGAGAAGATGGATTTTCCTGAATGTTATTCAGAAACAATTCTCTTCAGGACCTCGTCACGGTCATCACTAGCTTCCTACTTTCAACCTTGGCTTCCTGTTCTTCAATTCCAAGTGTTATACCACGTTCCACTTGATCTGACTTATATAACTCACCAGAGCACAGCAACAGGCTTGGAAGAAGACTTATTAAAAACCTACAATAGGCAGATGACACAACTTGGTTTGCTGAAAGCTAAAAGGACCTGAAGCACTGACTGATCAAATACTATAGCCTCCAGTAAGGATTACACCTTAACACAGAACAATGAAAAGTCCTCACAACTGGACCGGTAAACAACATCATGACAAATGGAGAACAGATTGAAATTGACAAGGACCTCATTTTCGTGGCATCCATAACCAAAGCCCATGAATGCAGCAGTCATGAGAGCAACTGATGTGTTGCTTCGGGCCAATCTACTGCCAGAGACTTCTTTCAAGGGTGAAAAGGCAGAGATGTCACCTCTAAGACTAACGTGTGCCTGACCCAAGTCATGACTTTCTTTGTTTTTGAATTTTTTTGCATAAAGAAATTGTATTGGGAGTTGAGGGAGAGAGAAAGGGTGTGTGTGTGTGAGAGAGAGAAATCACCCCACCAGTCTGCATGACTGGATCACTGGTGCTTCTCATGATATTTTCAGTCACCTCATGATATTTTTAATCACCTTATGAGAACTGGCCAATGAATAAGGAAAGGTGCAGAAGAATTGATGCTTTTGAATTATGGTGTTGGTGAAGAATATTAAACATACCATGAACTACCAGAAAAATGAATACATGTATGTTGAAAGAAGTACAGCCAAAATGCTTCTTCAAAGCAAGAACGCAGACTCTCTCCCATACTTCGGACACGTTATCAGGAGGGACCAGACCCTGGAGAGGGACATCATGGTTGGCAATGGGAGGGGCAGTGAAAAAGAGAAACATTCTCGAGGAAATGTATGACAGTGGCTACAAGAGTGAGCTCACACATTACAGTAATTATGGAGCTGACCCAGGACTAAACAGTATTTCTTCCTACTGCACACAGGGTCACTATGAGTCAGAAGCAACCTATAGTACCTAAGAACCTCATGTTTTGTTTTCAATCTTGAGTTTGTTCACTTCTTTAGGCTAGGCTTCACTACCAGGCCCTGGTGGCAATGTTGGATAAGGGCTGGACTGGTAACCATATGGTCGAACGTTCACACCCAAAAGTCACATAGAGGGAAAGATGAAGTTATCTGCTCCCATCACGATTTACAGCCACAGAAACCACATACAGGGTCACTGTGAGTTGGATCAACAGTAGTAGGTTTTCCTACACTTCATCAGGGCAGGGGTCATGTGGTCCTGTTTATTGCTATTCTTCAGTGCCTAGCATTTGTCTTGTATTTGGTAAACTTTCAAGTGCTTGCTTGGTTTCCACTCCACCCACCTCCGCCTGCCCCTCAGTTTTGTATTAGTCTTTGTGTGTGTGTGTGTGTGTGAGAGAGAGAGAGAGAGAGAGAGAGAGAGAGAGAGAGAGAGAGAGAGATAACTGAATGAAGGTTTCTTGAGCAAGCCAGCTTTCCATTCAACAATTCATACACATTTTGTTTCATGTCATTAATTGCAATCCCCATTCTCCTTCTTTCCTAATCTTGCCTGCCTTCTGTATTTGATCCTCCGGCAAATGTTGCTTTTTTGATCCAGAATGTTTGACTATCCTAAGTAGCACATACCTCTCTAGTGTCACTGTTTACAGATTTGTATATCATTTGGCTGAAAATTGAGCCATGGGTGAATTGAGCTCTGGCCTGAAGGGTGGCAAAGGACCATCGATTTGAAAACTCTACCAGAATCATTGTCATTTATATAGGAGAACTTTTTGGGTTTCATGCTCTAAACTTACTGGTAGTCTAGAAGTGCTTCACTGACAGGTAGTTTGCCTTCTTTCGATGGTGCATCTTGGTTATCTTTTCTATTTGTTTTTGCTGGGCTTTCCATTGTGCAGGTTAGCTATTTAAAAATACACCTGTTTAGAAAAGAGACAAACAAAAAAAGTAGATAAACTGATCATGTCCCCTACTTCTATTTATTCTAGATAAAGTACCACTAGGATTTAATTTAAAACCGGCTTTTTCTGTCAACTGTTCTATGTCCTCCAATCTAGCATCCATCATAAGGCTGAGACATAATGAATGATTTGGGTGTTTGAGAGTATTGAGCCCAGGAACAGCAGTTATTCCACCCAAACTTCCCAATAGACTTTCTCTGTTCCCACTCAGGGTTTGGCAGAGTGCACCACACACACAGTCACCCCCCGCCCCACCTGCCCCAAAGCAAAACAAACTCCAAACTCTGCCAGCAAGGGGACTCTGACCCCAGAGAGGGAAGTAGAACTGTCCCTGCGATTTCTGAAAATGTAACCTTTTGGCTCAGTTAATCTCTTATTTAAAACAAAACACATTTTAACGTGTTTATGTTTTTATTATTTTCTGCTTTCTTTTCTGTATTTTGTTGTTGTTGGGGTCTTTTTTGTATGCTTTTCTTTATATGAAATCCAGGATAGGTAAAGCTATAAAGACAGTAACTAGATTAACAGTTTATATTAATTAAGAGGGGTATGGCAGGAAATGGGAAACTGATAATTATGGATACAAAAACAAAGAAAATGTTCTAAAATTGATTGTGGTGATAAATGCACAACTCTCTTCTTAACTTATTCAGATCATGTGAGTTATGTGTCAATAAACTTTTAAAAATTAGAACAAAACAAAATCACCACTTTCTATGCATACTAAGTTAAGAGAACTAACATCCCAAATCAGGAAGTTTAACTAAGTTTAATACACATATGAAATAAAAGCATATATGAAAGGGGTTCATAAAAGGTTATATGGTTTACAAATGTAAATTATAGTAATAATGAGTATTCTTGAATTAATTACAATCATTGTTATTATCAGGCACTAATGGAGTTGATTTGGACTCATCAACCCTGTGTATGACAGAATGAAACGCTCGCTGCCTAGGCCTGTGTCAGCCTCATGGTCATTGCTGTGCTTGATCCCAGTACTGCAGCCATTGTGTCAATTGGTCTCCTCGGGGGTCTTCTTCATTGTGGGTGACCCTCTATTTACCAAACATCATGATCTTTTCTAGGGGCCGGTCCCAACGGATAACACATCCAAAGTGCACAAGAGGAAGTCTAGTCACCCTCACATCTAAGCAGCATTCTGTTCTTCTTCCAAGACAAATCTGCTCATTTTCCTGGCAGTGCGTGATATACTTAATATTCCCTAACACCATCATCCAAAGGCATCAATTCTTCTTTCTTCTGCAGTCTCCCTTATTCACTGTCCAGCTTTCACAGGTATATGAGGTGATTGAAAACATGAGGGCAAGTAAAAAATAATTGCTCCCAAGTCATCGAAACCTTTCTTAAACAAAAACATTAAAATGTTAAGCTGGATGGATGACATTTTAAACTTTCACCTGGATATGAATTGATATACATATGTAACAGCAGGCAGTTTCTTTTTCTCCCATAATTGCAAATCCTTCTGTCAAAAGCACATTTTGAACTGTAGCGCCCAAATTATGTGGCCATCTTGGCTGAAAATTAGGTCTGTCTGTTTATCCTGAATGGCTAATTACAAACAATTTGAAATACAATATATTTTAATGATTTCTCTAACTAGCTGTATTAGTTTTTTTCCCCTTTCTGTTGTCCTTCCATTTGAGAGCAACTGTCAAAAAGGTAAAAGAAAAATAGCCATTAAAGCAAACTGGTGAGGGCAATGGAAATGGATGTAGTACTTTAGACTGTGATGGTGGAGGAGAGCAAAGGGCTTCCCTCTTCCTACTTTGACCTTTAAAGAACAGAATACGGATCTACTGTGCCAGGTCTTGGGTGTGGGGCTAGCATATCCCTGAGCAAAGCTCACACACACTGAGACATGCAGCCTTATCATTTTCTTTCTCTTCACAGCGATTGTGAAGGCTTATATAGGACCTATTTTCCACTTCCTGACCATTTCTTCAACTCTGCTTAGCAGAGAATCATGGAGGGCAGGAGGGAAGAGAGGACAAACAAGATAATATACAAATCTAACAACTTCATAAACCCAGAAGCCAAGTGTTTTGTTCAGAAGAATGTCGTGGCAAACATGACAAGGGGTTGAAATCAACCTCTGGGTTGAGAATGTGCGGTTGAGGCGAGAAGTCATAAGGAAGCCCTTAAGAAGAGGTACTCTTCGAAGCCCCCATGAGAGGCTCCGTGCTGTACTGTGCTAGTACCACTGAGAGAGAGGCAAGGATGTCCTGAGAATTGGGCTAGAAAAGCAATAAGCAAGACTTGGATTCCAGTTCCCCCAGTTTCTGCCTGTATTAATGAATTTTGTAACCTTAGACAAGTATCTGAACTTCTCTGACCCCCAGTTTCTTTCTTCATCTTTCTTACCTCCTAACAGAGTTATTACTGAAGCTTACATGGGACACTTTTAGAAAATGGTTGAGTGATAAAGTCATACATGAATGGAAAGTCTTGTTCATTTAGGGAACACCTGCTGTGTGTTCTTTGTAAGATTTTCAGTCGCTAATTCATTAGAAGGGGACAGCCTACTCTTTCAGAGTCCAGAAGCTCTGCCGAAACCTGTTCACTTTCAGTGACTCTGCTGGTATTTGAAATACCAGTGACATAGCTTCCAGCATCAGAGCAACAAGCAAACCACCACCCTACGACAAACTGACAGACATGTGGTGAAGAAGAATGCTGCAGCAGAATTGGAGGAAGGCTGATTAACAAGCTTCCTTATGCAGATGACACAACCTTGCTTGCTGAAAGTGGAGAAGACTTGAAGCACTTGCCGATGAAGATCCAGGTTTATAGCTGTCAATATGGATTACAAACTCAATTAGTAGCATCATGATAAATGGGGAAAATGTTGAAGTTGTCAAGGAATTTGACTTGCTTGGATCCTCAATCAATGCTCATGGATGCAGCAGTCAAGAAATCAAAGAATGTGTTGTGTTGGGTAAATCTGCTGCACAGTATCTTTAAGTGTTAAAAAGCGAACAAGTTCCTTTGAGAACTAAGGTGTACCTGACCAAGGCCTGGTATTTCAGTCACCTCATATGCATGTGATACTTGGACATCGTACTAGGAGGACCTAAGAACAATCCATACATTTGAATTATGGTGCTGGAGAAGAATATTGAAAAGTACTAAGGATTGCCAAAGGAATAAACTTTGGGAGTGTTGAAAGAAACAAAACCAGAATGCTCCTTAGAAGTGAGGATGGTGAGACTTGTCTCATGTACTTTTTGGAAATATCATCCGGAGAGATCAAGCCCTGGACAAGGCCTTCCGGCTTGGTAGAGGGGCAGTGAAGAAGCCCCTCGACAAAGTAGGCTGCAGCAATAGCTTCAAACAGAACAACAGTGAGGATGGCGC